CCCCCCCCCCCCCCCCAGCAAAACTTGTCAAAACTCCCTATGTGGGGTGGGGAGCAGTGTTCAGGTTGTGGGATGGTTGGGGTCACAGAGCAGTGACAGTATGGGGCCTGGGGCAGAAGCATGATCTGCTGCTTGCATGCTTCTGGAGTGGGTGCCAGTTCTGTGGGTAGGGGTGTGCAGAGCACAGATTATAGCTCTGTCTCTGTCCCAGCCCTGTGCTGTCACTGCTCCAAGTTCCCGGATGCAGCTCCCTGCATGCCCTGCAGAACACAGCTCCTGGCTGGTCCCCCATGATCCTGGAGTCTCCATGGAGAGTGACACTGAGAGGCTGGGGCAGAGCTGCAGTCTGCTTACCACATGTCCCTGCCTGCAGAACTGGGCCCTGACCCTGTGCTGTTACTGCCCTGTAGGTTTTTTTTTTTTTAACAAGGCCTCCATAGAGACCAGGTGGGGCCCCTGGCTGGGCATGCAGGCAGCAGATCATGGCTCTGGGCCCCAGGTTGCTGCTACCCCAAGATCCTGGTATCTTTTCAGCCCTGCCTACCCATCTCCCTCCTGGACCCTGCTCCCTACCAGCCTGTGCCCTATCTCAGCCCCCAGCAGAGTCCCCTTCCTGTGTGGGTCCTGGGCAGTGAGGCTTGGCCCAGTGGCTGCAGCAGCTAGAAGGAGCCCTTGCTGTAAGGAAATGGAGTCCAGCTGCTGGGCTGCCCCCCATGCCTGGCCCACAAGCTGTATTTTTTGCCTACCCCTGCTCTAGACTGTGGGGATGACTAGGTACCTGTTTACTATTGTGTGAACCTCCTGTTTCTGATGCTATACCACTTCACATCTTTACTCTTAAATTCCTGATGTTCAATATGTTTGAGTATTTGGTCACAAGAATACTTAATTTACTCCCAGTTCCTTGAATTTTTCTGTATGGTTATCTAGAGCTTCCTAACCAGTCTGGTTCTGGATTCCTTGCTACCAAAGTTAGACAGTTATAGTCTTTTTGTGGCTGGTTGGCTTGTTTAAAGCTTCTCTGTAAAGCTATTGAACAGCACTCTGTTACTGTAGGAGGCTTCAGCCATGCAGTGTGTGAGACTTGAGCAGAGCTAGGAGTACATAATCTGGCATAGTTGTCCCATGCTGGATTTTACACACTTGGAGACTGGCCACCCATCAAAGCATTAATCAACTCTTATGAGGTGTATCTTAATTCCAGTATTTTTAATGCTGAAGCTGAGTTGGGACAAAGTTCAGAGAAAGTTGACATGGGAGTGGTCCAAAAAATACTCAAATTTTTTGAATGAATCCAAGATTGCATATCAACATGTGGGAATAGAAGACTTGGTTCAAGCTTTCATTTGAAAATGTGAAACTTAATCTTCCATGGAGACTGGAGGACTTGAGTAAAATAGTGGGGGCTTTTCTGTGTGGTTTTTTTTTTTCTGCTAGCCTTTCTGTCTAGTTCTCCTAGGAAACTCTATTCTTCCGAGGGTTTTGAGGAAAGGAGGGGGCTTGCCTCTATTGTAGCCTAAAGTCTTGCGTGTTCTCGACTTGTGTGGAGGAGCTACTTGTTAACATACTAACTTTTTTGTCTTTTCTGTTTAGCTCCAAAACCTGGGGATTAACCCAGCAAACATTGGATTCAGTACCCTGACAATGGAATCTGACAAATTCATCTGCATCAGAGAGAAAGTAGGAGAGCAAGCACAAGTTGTGATAATTGACATGAGTGATCCAACCACTCCTATCAGACGCCCAATCTCTGCAGAAAGTGCCATCATGAATCCAGCTTCTAAAGTAATTGCTCTGAAAGGTGAGTTAATGCTGTTCTACTAGAATATCTAGTGTTTGTTTGACACAAGCCAACAAGCATGGAAATCTAATGTAGTCCTGAGTAAGAACTTTTTTTGATAGGGTCCTTACTGATTAGTACCAGATTTCCCTCTTTAAATTTGAGGTGAGACACCCCTAATCAACACATGTACTAGGGTATGTCACAACTAGGTTTGCAGATGGAGTAACTCTTTAGACTCTCTTCTCCTCTGGACAGACTGGGACACTATACTTTGCAGAATCTCTTCTGCAGTGACAGTATTAGGTACTATTCAAGGGAACAGAAGAAATGGGAGAGCACCTTTTTCCCCACTTAATGAATGTGAGAGATCTTAAAGTAATAATTGAAATGGTGCATTATTAAAATTAATTTTTTTTACACTTGTGTATATATAATGCAGGCTAGCCTGTAAGGGTGGGAGCAGTGCTTGGAGAGACAGTTCTGTCTAAATTTCTCTTTAAGCTTAAAAGAGAGCTTGCCCTAAACTGTAACTCTGCTGCTAAAATCTGGTGCCTGGCTAAAGGGTTTTCTCTCAATTTGTAAGTGACTCCTGGCTCTTTTGAATACAACTTAAACTGCCAAAGCACCTGGGATTAAAGACTTCCCAACCTTTCAGGAAACGGAATACTTTTTGCAAACATTCTGGTGTCTAATCCTTAAACTGCTTCACCTTGTTACTGACTTTGTACTTTTCTTCCTGCATTCTTGTCTTAAACAGATGGTGAGTTAACTTTGTCCTGACATTTCATGTTTAATAGTAAAATGGTCAAATCTCATAAAGTACTTTCTTTTTCACTCCAAGATTATTTAAGTTCCTTAACAACTTCTCATGCAAGGCTTTGTTAAAGGCTTTGGAAGGTCCAACTAAAGAACAGGCGGGCAGCTGATATGTTACCTTGCTGAAAC